CCCCCCCCAGGCATTCACCACACTATTTGTCTGTGTACATGGGTTGTGCATATATGCATATAAGTTCTTTGTTGATATTATGTGTATGTTGATATAGTCTTGGACTCTGCTACAACTACAGTGATTTCTTAAATTCATGAGTTCTTTTCTCTAGGACTGTCTCATTAGTTTCTAAAAATGCTTTAATATTTACATAAGGTCTCAACTCATTGCAATTCATGGCCCTTGTTTGAATCCTAATTTAAACAAAAAACTGAACCGTTAACAAACTAATAAACGGTTATGTGACATTTGTGGAAATGTGAATATTGCCTAGATATGTGATGATATTGAAGAATTACTTTAGGTAGGATAATGGTATTATGGTTATTTTGAAAGAGAACAGTCTCTATCTTTTAGAAATACATATTTAAATACATGTGAAATGATATGATGTGTGAGATTTACTTGAAAATAATCAGGGTAGAGGGCAGAGATTACTTGGATAGGAATATAGAAGAAACAAGATCAGCCTGGTATTATTGATAATTATTGAAGCTGGGTGATCGGTACATCAAATTTATTATGTTGTTCTCTCTTTTGTATATAAATAGTTGAAAATTTCCATAATAAAAAATTTTAAGAAAATAAAGCCCCCTTTTCAAATTGTTTTATTTGGTTTGGATTTAAGACTATATAAAAGTTAAGTAATAAATTTCTACAAATTCACTTTAATCCTTTCACAGTTAAATGAAAAAAAATATATAACATTACTCTTTTGTAATTTTTAAAAAATTTTCAATTTTTAGGGGCAGAGAGAGAAAGGAGGGGACATCAGTTTGTTGTTCCACTTATTTATGCATTCATTGGTTGATTCTTGTATGTGCCCTGACTGGGGATAGAACCCACAACCTTATAATATTACTCTTTTTTACAAGATGTGTTATCTGAATTGTTTTTCTTATCAATGCTCCTAGGAATATATTCTGTACTTGTGGCTCTGATGGCTGGCAAAGCAGAAGTAAGATATAATCCTGCTGTTATACAACCCCCAATGATAGCCGAGTTTATCCGAGAGCTTGGATTTGGCGCCACTGTGATAGAAAATGCTGATGAAGGGGATGGAGTTTTGGAACTTATTGTAAGTAAGAATATTTGTGTAATTAATAAAATTTCCAGGAAAATGTAACAAGGATTAGGAAAAGAGTTCCAAAGATAATTAAAGCTGGGAAAATAAGACATTAAAGGAAAATTAAGGGAACTGGAAAATGGAAGGATAAGATTTGACTTAATGGTGGCATTCAAGCATGGAATGTAAAAGATAGTCATCATATCTCTATTAAGAACCAAAAAGGAAGAATTGGGTTTAGATGAACAAATGAAAATAAACTTTTAAAAATGTAGTATGATTCTTACCTATAGCATGTAAAATAATAAGTTTCAGATGCATTAAAGACTTAAGTTTTATAAATGAAGTCATAAAATCAAGTGTAAGACATATTGATTTACACTTGATCTTAGCCCAAAGGCTGAGAAGCGATGGGGCATATTGGCTTAAAATGGTCATTTTCTCCAACCCAGCAAATCAAGTTTTATTTGTATAACTTCAACAGTTAAAATGAAAAAGTTAACCCTGTGCCAAAATAGGTTCTAGCTCAAACAAAAATTTAAATGTAAAAAATGAAACCATGAAATTACTAGAATAAATTTTGGAGCTTTTCTTTCAATATGTTAGCATGAAAATTTCAAACATCAGGAAAGTCAAAAGAGTTGTACAGTGGACACCATTATACACACCACCAAGATTCTACAACTAACATTTTACTATATTTGTTTTATCACACATCAGTCTCTCAATCCATCGTGGAAATAATTTTAGACTCACAAATAAGTTGCATAAATGGCACAGAGAATTTCCATGTAGCCTCTACTCAGATTTCCCCAGTGATAACATCATTTAAAAAATAATATTAGAGTAGGAAGGGCATTTCTAAATATCATATAAAACCAATAAATGAAAATATTAATAAATCAGGTACATAAAATTTTCTTCTTGGGAGAAAAGCAACATAAAGTCAAAAGGCAAGTAAAATAATTATAATTCATTTCATAGATGAAGGCTAATTTTCTTTTTTAAAATTTATCTTTATTGTTGAAAGTATTACAGATGTTCCCCCTTTTCCCCCATTGACCCCCTACACCCTGCTCCCACCCCTAATTTTCTAAATATATGAAGAACTGTTATAAATCAATAAGAAAAGACCCAGCAACCCAAAAGAAAGATGGTAAAGGATATGAACCGACAGCTCACAGAAAAGCCAAAACATTACCTCTTTAAACATGAAAAGCTATTCAACCTCATTTGTAATAAGAGTAAAGCAAATTTACACTGCATGAAATGCCATTTTTTACCTATTAGATCAGTAAAAATTAAAAACAATTTTGTTAACACTGTGATCTCTCATATTGCTCTTGCAGTGTCAGTTGATATAAGCTCTCAACAGAAATTTGAAAATATCTGTCAGAAGTAAAGTTGTGCATAGCCTTTGCCTCAGAAGCTTCGCTTGTAGGAAGTTATCGAACAGACATTTGCATATGTATGAAATGACACGTATAAAGATGTTCTATTATATCATTACTTATAATAGCAAAAGAGGAAAAAACTAAATGTCAGTTATTGGGAAATAGATAAATTATGACACATTTGTACTGTAGGATACTAAACAGCTATTAAAAAGAATGGGCAGATTTTTACTTTTTAAAGACTTTAAAAATTAATAGCTTTATTGAAATTTACTTCACAAATCATAAACCCCTTTTAAAGTGTACAATTCAGTGATCCTTAGTATATTCTCAGAGTGGTGCTATGACCTCAAGCAAAATAGAAACAAACTCATAGAGAGCGGACTGGTGATTGCCAGAGGGGAGGGCGGTTGGGGGACTGGGTGAAAGAAGTGAAGGGATTAAGAAGTACAAATTGGTAGTTATAAAATAGCCCTGGGAATGTAAATTACAGCATAGGAAATATAGTCAATAATATTCTAATAACTATGTGTGGTGCCAGGTATATACTTGAATTATTGAGGGGATCACTGCATAAATTATATAATTGTCTAACCACTGTGCCTCACACTTGAAACTACTAGAAAATAATATTGAATGTCAATTGTAATTGAAAAAATTGCTGCTATAACATCTTTAGTAAGTCCAGTGTCTGGGCTTCCTCAGGGACAGCTTCTATTGATTACTTTTTTCCTGCTTATAGATCATACTCGTTTTATTGCATGGTCTCACAATTTTCTTTTGTTAAAAATATAATATGGCAACTCTGGAAATGAGATTCTTCCCACCTCCTCATGGTTTGCTGTTGTAGTCATTTGTCATTGTTATTTTTTAAGTGACTTTTCTGAGCTAATTCCATGAAGTCTATATTCTATGTTGTGTGTGGCCACTGAAGTCTCTGCTTTATTAGCTTAGTGGTCAGCTAATGATTGGATAGAGATTTGCTTAAATACTGGAAACCAATAAGTCTCCCAGGTTTTGCTGAGGAGTTCTGTGTAAATGTTGGGGCATGCCTTCAACACTCAGCTATGTGGTTGTCAGTTTTGCCTTGGCTTTCACTACCTACAGAGCCTGAAGGTAAGCCTGAAGTAAGAGAGGTTAGAGTCTTTTCAGTTTTTTCTGAGCATGCACACACCCCTGGACATGTGCATAACCCTATGCATGTGCATGGCTGTCTAGATTCCTAGGAAAATTTTGGAACTGTTATAAACATTTTGCTTTGAAGGAGTTCCAACCCTTTTTGCCCTCTCTGGTAGCTTCTGATGCTGTTGTGTTTTTTTAACCATAATTGTGAGCTAGCTGGTGATCTTCATGACTACCACAGAACGGGAGTGGAGGGGCAATTATAATGCACATAGGTTGCTGTTTTATTGGGATTCATCTGATTTTCTTGAATACTTCCTGGGTTGCTGCAAGCTTTTAAGTTCCAAATTTCTGAAAAAGTTGGTTCTGATAATTTTTGCCAGTTTTCTCATTGCTTTTGTGAAGGAGAAAATTTTCAGAGATCCTTACTTCACCACTACTGATATCCCTTTAGTGGATATTTTTGAACATATGCTTTGTAATTTGTTATATACCTTTTGGTCACTTCCCAGAGTCTTTCAACAGTTTTGTTTTTGTTTTTATTTCTCAATTACAGTTTACTTTCAATATTATTTTGTATTGGTTTCACACATACAGCATAATGGTTAGACAATCATATACTTGACAAAGTGTTCCCTTTGATATTTCTAATACCCACCTGGCCCCATACATAGTTACCACAATATTATTGACTATATTCCCTATGCTGTACTTTATATCCCTGTGACTATTTTATAACAATCAATTTGTACTTCTTAACCCCTTCACCTCTTTCATTCAGTCCCCCAGCTGCCCTCTCCTCCGGAAACCATCATCTGCTCTCTGTGTCTATGAGTCTCTTTCAATTTTGTTTGTTCCTTTATTTTGTTCTTTAGATTCCACATATAAGTGAAATCATATGATATTTGTTTTTCTCTGTGTGACTTATTTCACTGAGCATAATACCCTCTAGGTCCATCCATGCTGTCCCAAAAGGTAACATTGCTTACTTTTTTAGGACTGAGTAATATTTCATAGTGTAAATGTACCACGGCTTTTTTATTCACTCATCTATTGATGGGCACTTACTTGGCTTGCTTACATATCTTGGGTATTGTAAATAACTGCAATGAATATAGGGGTGCATATATTCTTTCAAATTAGTGTTTTGGGTTTCTTCAGATAAATATCCAGAAGTGGAATTGCTGGGTCATAAGGAAGTTTCATTTTTAATTTTTTGAGGAACCTCCATACTTTTTTCCATAGTGACTACACCAGTCTGCATTCCTACCAACAGTGCACCAGGGTTCCCTTTTTTTTTTTTTCTCCCACATCCTTGTCAACACTTGTCATTTGTGGATTTATTGATGGTAGCCATTCTGACAAGGCTGAGTTGATATCTCATTGTGGTTTTAATTTGCATTTCTCTGATGATTATTGACATTGAGCATTTTTTCATACACCTATTGGCCATTTGTATGTCCTCTTTGGAGAAGTGTTTATTCAGGTTCTCTACCCATTTAAAATATATATATATATCTTTATTGATTTCAGAGAGAGGAAGGGAGAGGGAGAGAGAGAGTGATAGAAACATCAATGATGAGAGAGGGTCATTGATCGGCTGCCCCCCACACCCCCCCACACTGGGGATCGAGCCCACAACCCGGGCATGTGCCCTGACTGGGAACTGAACCATGATCTCCTGGATCCTAGGTCGATGCTCAACCGCTAAACCATGCCCGGCTGGGCATCTCTGCCCTTTTTTAATTGGATTGTTTTTTTGTTGTAGAGTTGTATGAGTTCTTTTTAAATTTTGCATATTAACCCCTTATCAGATGTATCATTCAGTGGGTTGTCTTTTCATTTTGTTGATGGTTTTCTTTGCTGTTCAAAACCTATTTAGTTTGACATAGTCCCATTTGTTTATTTTTTCTTTTGTTTCCCTTGCCCAAGGGGATATATCAGAAAAAAATATTGCTAAGAGAAATGTCAGAGATTTTACTGTCTATGTTTTTGCCTAGGAGTTTTATGGTTTCGAGTCTTACACTTAAGTTTTTAATCCATTTTGAGTTTATTCTTGTATATTTTGTGAGAAGATGGTCTGTTTTTGTTGTTGTTTTTTTGCATGTATCTGTCCAATTTTTCCAGCACCATTTTCAATAGTTTCTTGAACCTTTCCCCCAGTTTCATCATTGCTTTTTAGGAGAAAGGAATTGATGAGCTCCTTACACAGTCATTCCAGAATTCCTACCCCATGACTTTAGTATTTAATATCCAACTGAACTATATATAACCTCACTCAACATATAGGGCAAAAAAATATTTTTAGACAAATGTAGAACACTTTTGTCATCCATTAACGTTCACTAAAAGTAATACTAAAGGTTATGTAATTTAGCAGGATGAAAAAATATCTAGACGGAAGCAAGGCGTTGAATACAAGAAACAATGATTTGTCAAATTCTCTACAATGAGTAGTGACAGGAATAGCGAGACTTTTAATGAGATCCTCTTCTGTGTAACCTGTTGTAGCTGGACCATATCCTTGTTCAATGTGATATAAAAAGTGTTCTAAAAGAGTGTTCTAATTGTCATATTTAAAGCATATTAATAGTGCAGAAAGATCTTGTGTGTTAATCCCATGTTACAAGAGTTATTTTAGTTTAAAGTAATAACTCATGTTTAATGGAGGAAAAAGTATATTTTTGAATAACAATGCACTTGTCTTTAATAGGTGAGAGGAATGACCTGTGCCTCCTGTGTACATAAAATAGAGTCTACCCTCACAAAGCACAGAGGTATTTTCTACTGCTCTGTGGCCCTGGCAACCAACAAAGCACATGTTAAATATGATCCAGAAATTATTGGTCCCAGAGATATTATCCATACAATTGAAGTAAGTGTCAATTTCTATGTTCTTGCCTATTTAATTAACATACTTCTGAATTGGTTCTGTTTCTATCAGAGACAATGAAAAAATCTGATACATTTGGTTACTCTAGACAACATCTGTCTCATAATTTAATGTAAATTTATCTGCCTTTTTTATGGTATTTATCAGGAGGAGCTGGGCAAAGGCATACTGACACTATAAATCAGGAGCAGACTTAAAGTAGAAACACAAGGAATTTTTAAAATACTTAGAAAACGGAAGCAAAGTACAATTTGTTACGGGTAAAATTTATGTTAATCACTAAGAAAATGAAGGATCCTGCTAGATGCTTTATTGTTTGTTAGGTCAAAGCAAAGGATGCATTTTTAAGTTAAAGTAAGACATTTAAATGACCAAATCTTTTCCTTTGTTATAAATTCATCTTGTGCTCTTCAGTATATCTTAAGTGGTCGTACATGTGGAAGTGCTTTAAAAGTTTCAGTGTGGTATAGCACTGGTGTTCTAATGATCTAAAGCACATTAATGGTTCAGATAAGATCTTATTAGTGTGGATAATAATGACATTAACATCTTTGTGAAGCTAGCATTATTGAGTATCTACTATGTGTCAGTTACCAAGATTGCCAAGCTTCAACTCTTAATTTCATTCACATAACAGTGCTGTCATCTTCATTTTGGAGGTGAGGAACCTCAGGATAAGAGAAGTTAAGTTACTTGTCCAAGGTCAAATAGCTAGTAGATATCATAGCTGGGATTTGAGCCTAATCTTTCTGACTCCAAAGGTCATGCCTGCTCTTTTCACTGTACTACACTGACAACAAATGTTATATGGCAGTATTTTTCTTAGCATTTGAAAATATAATGTGTTACTGTGTTTGCTCACACTTAGGCGAGGTTTTCTTTTCATATTTTGTTTTATTGAGGAAAATTTTTGTTTGTATTCTTTTTTCTTAATTTCTCCTGAGAGTTCATTACTATTATATAGAAACACAACAGATTTCTGTATTTTAATTTTGTATCCTGCAATTTTACTGAGTTCATTTATTAGTTCTAATAGATTTTGGTGGAGTCTGTAGGGCATTCTATATATGGTATCATGTCTTTTGCAAATAGTGACAGTTTTACTTCTTCCTTTGCAATTTGGATGCCTTTTATTTCTTTTTCTTGTCTGGTGTGGCTAGAACTTCCAATACTATGTAGAATAAAACTGGTGAGAGTGGGTATCCTTGTCTTATTCCTGATCTTAAAGGAAAAGCTTTCAGCTTTTCACTATTGAATGTGATTTTAGCTGTTTGTTATATATGGCCTTTATTATGTTGAGGTATGCTTCCCTTATCCCTGTTTTGTTGAGAGGTATTTTTTTTTTTAATCATAAATGGATGTTGAACTTTGTCAAATGTGTTTTCTGCATCAATTGAAATGATACAATTTTTATGCTTGGGGTTATCGATGTAGTGTATCTCATTGATTGATTTGTGGGTATTAGACCATCCTTGTATCCTAGGAATAAACCCCACTTGATCATGGTGTATAATCCTTTCACTGTATTGTTGAATTCAGTTTCCTAATATTTTGTTGAGAATTTTTGCATCTATGTTCATCAGGGATACTGGCCTGTAATTTTCTTTTTTTCTAGTATCTTTGGTTTTAGTATCACAGTAATGCTGACCTCATAGAATGAGTTTGGAAGTGTTCCTTTTTATTTAATTTTTTTGTATAGTTTGAGGAGGATAGGTGTTAATTCTTCTTTAACTGTTTGGCATAATTCACCTGTGAAATCGTCTGGTCCTGGACTTTTGTTTGTTGAGAGGTTTTTGATTACTCCTTTAAATTTGTTGCTAGTAATTGGACAGTTCAGATTTTCTGTTTCTTCATGGTTCAGTCTTAGAAAACTGTTTTTCTAGAAATTTTTCTGTTTCTTTAGGTTGTCCAATTTGTTGGCATATAATTGTTCATAGTTTTTTTTTTTAATTTTTAAATTTATTGTTTCCAGTATCACAGATGTCCCACATTCCCCTTCTTTGTCCCCCTGCACAAGGCCACTACCCCACGTCAGGCCTTCACCATACTATTGTCTGTGTGTAAGGGCTATTCATATATGCATATGTCCTTTGATTAATCTCTTCCCATCCCCCCACCTCCTCCGCTCTAAGATCTGTCGGTCTGTTCCACGCATCCTTGCCTCTGGACCTATTTTGTTTGTCAGTTTATCTTGTTCATTAGATTCCACATATAAGTGAGATCATGTGATACTTGTCTTTCTCTGACTAGCTTATTTTGCTTAGCATAATAATCTCCAGCTGGCATGAGTCAATGGTTGAGCATCGACCCATGAACCAGGAGATCACAGATTGATTCCCAGTCAGGCCACATGCCCAGTAGGGGGCGTGCAGGAGGCAGCTGATCAGTGATTCTCTCTCATCATTGATGTTTCTATCTCCCTCTCCCTTCCTCTCTCTGAAATCAATTTTAAAAATATTAATAAATAAATAAGAATCTTTGCATGGAACTTCAAAAACAAACAAAAGCATGCAGGTTTTTCAAGTGTAAAACTGCTGCATACTGCATCTAGCATCATCTAGCATTGAGCATTCACCATTCAAAGTATAAAGTCTCTTTCTGTCCCTGTTTATCGCCCCCTTTGTTTATTTTTTCCTTTGTTTCTCTTGCCCTAGGAGATGTACATGGGAAGATACTGCTATGTGAGATGTCTGATATTTTACTGCCTATGTTTTCTTCTAGGATTTTTATGATTTTGCAATTTATATTTAAGTCTTTTGTCCATTTTGAGTTTATTCTTGTGTGTACTGTAAGTTGATGGCCTTTTTCCTTGTTTTTCTTTCTTACCTGTACCTGTACAGTTTTCCCAGCACCATTTATTGAAGAGGCTGTCTTTACTCCATTTTATGTTCTTGCCTCCTTTATCAAATATTAATTGACCATAATGGAATGGGTCAATTTCTGGGGTCCTGTCCTATTCCATTGATCTATATTCCTGTTCTTGTGCAAATACCAAGCTATTTTGATTACAGTGGCTTTGTGGTATAACTTGATATCTGTTATTGTGATCCCTCCAACTTTGTTCTTCTTTCTCAAGATTGCTGCTGCTATTCGGGATCTTTATTTGTTCCATATAAATTTTTGGAATATTTGTTGTAGATCTGTGAAATATGCCATTGATATTTTAATAGGCATTGTGTTGAATCTGTAGACTGCTTTGGATAGTAAGGACATTTTAATGATGTTAATTCTTCCAATCAATGAACATGGTATATGCTTCCACTTGTTTGTATCTTCCTCTGTTTCCTTTTTCAATGTCCTATAGTTTCCTTAGTACTACCCGTGTTTTAACTTCTTGGGTAAGTTTATTCCTAGGTATCCTATTTGTTGTTGTTGTTGTTACAATGTAAATGGGAATTTTTTTTTAGTTTCTCTTTCTGAGAGTCATTATTGGTGTGTAAAAATGCCATCAATTTCTGGATGTTAATTTTATATGCTACTTTGCTGAATTCATTTATTAAATCTCGTAGCTTTTTGGTGGAGTCTAGGTTTTTCTGTGTACAACATCATGTCATCTGCAAATAATGAATGTTTTACTTTCTCCTTTCCAATTTGGATGCCTTTTATTTTTCCTTCTTGTCTGATCACTGTGGCTAGGACTTCCAGTACTATGTTGAATAAGAGTGGTGAAAGTGGACATCCCTGTCATCCTGTTCTTAGGGGAAATGATTTTAGTTTTTCCCCATTGAGTATGATGTTGGCTGTAGGTTTGTCATATATGGCCTTTTGTTATATTGAGGTAGGATTCCTCCACTCCTACTTTGCTGAAAGTTTTTATCAAAAATGGGTGCTGGATTTTGTCAAATGCTTTTTCTGTGTCTATTGTTATGGTCATGTGATTTTTATCCTCCTTTTTGTCTATGTGATGTATCATGTTTATTGATTTCAAAATATTGTCTAAGCCTTGCATGCCTGGAATAAATCCCACTTGGTCATGGTGTATGAACTTTTTAATATATTTCTGGATCTGATTTGCTAATATTTTGTTGATGGTTTTAGCATTTATGTTCATCAAGCATATTGGCCTATAATTTTCTTTCTTTGTAGTATCTTTATCTGCTTTTGTAATTAGGATAATGCTGACCTCATAAAAAAACTTGGAAGTCTTCCCACATCTTGAATTTTTTGGCATAGTTTGAGGAGGATAGATATTCTTTGAATGTTTGGTAATCTCTCCTGTGAAGCCATCTGGTCTAGGACTTTTGTTTGCTGGGAGGTTTTTGATTACTGCTTTAATTTCATTAGTTGTTACTGGCCTATTCAGGTTTTCTGACTCTTCCTGAGTTTTGGAAGATTGTATGTTTCTACGAATTTGTCCATTTCATACATGTTGTCCAATTTGTTGGCATATAGTTGTTCATAGTATTTTTTTACAGTATTTCGAATTCCTGTGATGTCACTCATTACTTTGCCTCTTTCATTTCTGATTTTATTTATTTGGGTCCTCTCTCTTTGTTTCTTGATAAGTCTGGCTAAAGGTTCATCAATCTTGTTTATCTTTTAAAGAACTAGCTGTTGGTTTCAGTGATCTTTTGTATTCTGTTTTTAGTATCTATTTCCACTCTGGTCTTTCTTATTTCCTTCCTTCTAATTACCCTGGGCTTTTCTCTTTTTGTGAGTAATTCATTTATATTTTTCATTTAATGAATATAATCTTTTTAAAATATGTTTTTAATTGATTTCAGAGAGAGGAAGGCAGATGGAGGGAGAGATAGAAACATGGATGAGAGAGAAACATATATCGGCTGCCTCCTACACGCCCCCTACTGGGGATCAAGCTCACAACCCTGGCATGCGCCCTGACCTGGCATAGAATCTGTGGCCTCCTGGTGCATGGAACAGTGCTCCACCAACTGAGCCACACCAGCTGGGTAGTCTGGGCTTTTCTTGTTCTCTTTCTAATTCTTTTAGTAGTAGGGTTAGATTGTTTATTTGAGCTTTTTATTGTTTCTTAAGGTAGGCCTATAATGCTATGAACTTCACTCTCAGGATTGCTTTTGTTGTGTCCCACAGATTTTGGTTTGTTGTTGTTCATTTTCATTTGTTTCCAAGAAGATATTTATTTCTTCTTTGATCTCATTGTCAACCCATTCATTGTTTAATTACATGCTCTTTAGCCTCCATGTGTTTGAGTTTTTTGAGTTTTTTATTGTAGTTTATTTCTGTTTTCATGCCGTTGTGATCCGAGAAAGTGCTTGATAAGATTTCAGTCTTCTTGAATTTGTCAAGACTTATTTGTTGTCATGGGGATGTAAAATACAGCATAGGGAATATAGTCAGTAATATTCTAGTAACTATGGTGTCAGATGGATGCAAGATTTATCTGATCACTTTTTAAGTTATGTAATGTCTAATCACTGGGGTTTACGCCTGAAACTAATATAATAATGTATCTCAACTTCAACTGAAAAATAAAAATGATTTTAAAATGGGAAATTAAATAAATAAATAAATGGATGAATGAATGAATGATGGGGACACACACACAAAAGAACCCCTACTGAGGACAGCTGCACTTGAGTTAAATCATTACTTTGAGAACAGTAGGATAAACACTAACTAGAGTGGAGGAGGTACTCATTTTTTTGACGAAAGATTAAAAACTAAGGTAATTAAGAAAGGAACCATATCTTCATTTTTGTATTCCCCACAGTAACTTGCACTTGGTAATTGAATTGAATTGTTCTTAATGACAATACCATGGCTTAGAATTTCTTTATTTAATATTTATACATTCAGTGAAATAATTGTTTTCTCTTGAATTTCCTTTAGAGCTTAGGTTTTGAGGCTTCTTTGGTCAAGAAGGATCGGTCAGCAAGCCACCTAGACCACAAACGAGAAATAAGACAGTAAGTTCTCTTGCAGTGTCAGTGAAAAACAGATTTTGATTCTTTGTTACAAATTTAACATCCTCTGAGCATGTCAGTTTTTACAATATCATCCTTATACCCAGTGGAGTGGTCACAACTTGTATTTATCTCTAGTACATAGAATCTTTAACCACTAGCTACTTAGTAAAATGATTTTTCTTTTCTACATAAGATGGAGACGGTCCTTCCTCGTGAGCCTCTTTTTCTGTATTCCTGTAATGGGACTGATGATATATATGATGGTTATGGACCACCACCTTGCAACTCTTCACCATAGGCAGAACATGAGTCAAGAAGAAATGGTCAACATTCATTCTTCTATGTTCCTAGAGCGCCAGATCCTGCCAGGATTGTCCGTTATGAATTTGCTATCCTTTTTATTTTGCGTACCAGTACAGGTAAGTGAAATGTTAGCAAGTATATTTGTTAATAATGAAAAATAGCTAAAATGCGGCAGGCAAGTCCATTTTCAATTGGAAAGCAGATGTTAGCCAGAAACCTATCATTTTATGTTGGATGCTTTACAAAAATAATCTTAAACTGAGTGGTTAAAGTAAATAATAAATTCCACTTAACCCCTAAGGATATTGTTTAATGACAAAGCAAAGAATAAGAGTTTAATTTGTATTCAGATATGATTTGGCATTCATATCTGCTATTGTATATAAATTTATATTTTAAATTATTATATTATAACAATAAAATATCCTGAGCCTTTGTAGCCTAAATGGCTCAGTTCTACCGTTGTAACTTTCTAAATAAATTTTCTCTTATAATTAAAAAAATACATTTTGTTTATATATTTAATATCTTAAAATTAATTCTACTTATATTAATGATATTAAATATATTTTGATTTCTTTAGTAATTTATTATATAAAATAAAATAATTCTAATAATTATTAAATTGTATTATTAGTTATATTGTTTTTCCTGGCACTTAAATGTTTTCAACTTTACTTTTGAAATAAACTTACTGTGGAACACTTCCATCTAATAAATGTATTCCTTTTTCTGATCCTTGTAAAAGGCAATAATGATTTTTTAAAAACTCTTAGTGTGTTTCTCTATACCAGGGATGGGGAACCTTATATGGCCTGTGGGCCATATACGGCCTAAGAAATCATTTGGTCTGGCCCTGCCAAGGCAGCCACGGGTGGGACTTGAAATTCAATAAATCTAGGAACTTTTTCATAGCTATTTTTTAAGTTGATAATTTTGTGTGGCCTGTGAATGATGTTATAAATATCCCAGTGGCCCTTGGCAGAAAAAAGGTTTCCCACCCCTGCTCTGTACTAATGAAAAATAAGCTTTTCAGGTATGTATACCAACAATATTAGCCAGCAGATCTAAGAGCTTGTGATATTGCCACTTAGGTTGAATTTTGGAAAGGGGGAGATGAGTTTTATGTAGAAAAATCCTTGCCAAAAGAATGTAATTCTTTTCCTACTTTTTGGGTTTTTTTAATGCTTTTTTTTTTTTT